GGAGGGTCGTGGCCTATGCTTCGAGGCAGCTGAAGCCTCACGAGAAGAACTACCCCACTCACGATCTCGAGTTAGCTGCAGTCGTTCATGCCTTAAAGATTTGGCGGCACTACCTCTATGGAGGCAAGTGTGAGATATTTACCGACCACAAGAGCTTAAAGTACATTTTCACTCAGAGGGAGCTGAATATGCGACAACGTAGGTGGTTGGAACTGGTCAAGGACTATGATTACACGATTAGCTACCATCCTGGGAAAGCCAACGTGGTAGCCGATGCACTTAGTCGGAGGAGTTATGGCCAGTTGTCCTGTCTCTTTACCAAGCAAGATGTCCTTCTTCGGGAGTTCGAGCGACTACAGTTAGAGGCAGTAGAGCCGCCTTCGACAGCCAGGGGTATGTTGACCTCTTTGGTTGTGGGACCGACTCTTCGTGAGAGGATTGTCGCCGAGCAACCAAATGATCGTTTCCTTTGTCGGATGAAGGAGTTGTCGGAAGCCGGTAGAGTTAGAGGATTCGCAGTCGCATCTGATGGGGCCTTGGTCTTCGAGGGTAGACTTTGTGTTCCGAAGGTGTGGGAATTGCGAAGGGAGATTTTGAGAGAGGCCCATAGCGCCCCGTACACCGTCCATCCTGGTAGTTCAAAAATGTATCAGGACTTGAAGAAGTCTTTCTGGTGGCGAGGTATGAAGCGGCAAGTGGCAAGGTTCGTAAATGGGTGTCTGGTATGTCAGCAAGTGAAGGCTGAGCATCAGAAACCGAGAGGGAAGTTGCAGCCACTTGAGGTTCCCTTGTGGAAGTGGGAGTGCATCACCATGGATTTCTTGGTGGGATTACCGAGGTCGAGGACCGGGCATGACTCTATCTGGGTGATTGTGGATCGCCTTACGAAGTCTGCTCACTTTCTGCCAGTCCGGACGACTATGAAGGCAAGTCAGTATGCCGAGTTGTTCGTGAATGAGATTGTCAAACTTCATGGAGTTCCCGTGGAGATCGTGTCTGATCGAGACGCAAAGTTCACTTGTCAGTTCTGGAAGACCCTGCATCGAGCCATGGGGACGAGGCTGGAGTTCAGTACATCTTTTCACCCCCAGACAGATGGCCAGTCGGAGCGGACGATCCAGTACTTGGAGGACATATTGAGGGTTGTGGTCTTGGACCGTAGCCTAACCTGGGAGAGTGCCTTGCCTTTGGTCGAGCTGACTTACAACAATAGCTACCACTCCACGATCAAGATAGTCCCGTTCGAGGCATTGTACGGACGTAAGGTCCGAACACCCTTGTACTAGGATGAGGTCGGGGAGAGGACGATCATGGGTCCAGAGTTCATTCTTAGAGCTGCAGAGACAGTTGAGGCCATCCGGAAGCATATCCGGTCAGCCCAAGAGAGGCAGAAAGTCTATGCCGACCGGAAGAGGGATGAGCACGAGTATGCTGTCGGAGATCATGTCTTCCTGAAGGTCTCGCCCATGAAGGGTGTGATTCGCTTCGGGAAGAGAGGGAAGCTCAAGCCGCGTTATATTGGGCCTTTCGAGATCCTTGCCCGAGTCGGGAACTTGGCTTATCGGCTGGCTTTACCACCTAGCTTGTCGGGCGTGCACGACGTGTTTCACGTCTCGATGCTGCGGAGATACGTGCATGATCCCGGTCACGTGGTGGACTTCGGCGAACTGCAGGTCGAGCGAGACCTTACCTACGAGGAGGTACCGGTAGCTATTTTGGACCAGAAGGTCCATCAGTTGAGGAACCGGGCAGTGAGCTTGGTAAAGGTGCTTTGGAGCCGACATGACGAGAAGGAGGCGACTTGGGAAAAAGAGGCCGAGCTTCGGAGGCGATATCCGAACTTTGAGTTCTGATTTCCCTTTGTATTTTTCATCGCTTTCTAGTTTATTTTCGAATTCCGAGGACGGAATTCGTTGTAAGGTGGATAGACTGTAATACCCCATTTTATTTTGGATTATTGGAGAATAATTATTGATTATTGCTATTATTAAATTATCTTTATTATTATTATTATTATCATTATAATTATTATTATTATTATAAATGCTATT